TTTGAGAAGGAGTCTCGTCCTGTCGCCGAGGCTGGAGTGCAGTGGTGCAGTTTCGGCTCACTGCAACCTCCGCCTCCTGGGTTCAAGCGATTCTCCTGTCTCAGCCTCCCAAGTAGCTGGGATTACATGCATGCGCCACCACGTCCAGCTAATTTTTATATTTTTAGTAGACACAGGGTTTCACCATGTTGGTCAGGCTGGTCTCTAACTTTTGACCTTAGGTGATCTGCCTGCCTCAGCCTCCCAAAGTGCTAGGACGATAGGCGTGAGCCACCATGCCCAGCCCTCTTGTATATCCTTTATGTGATGTTTTATACACAGGCAAACCTACATACATATACATCTCCTCTTTTAAAAATACATTTTGTAACATATTTTTAAGCTCTTTTCTCCCACTTAGGGTATCTTGCAAATCCTTCTATAGCAATATATATAGATATGCCTCACCGTTTTTAACTGCTGCATGTCACTGCAATGAATCTAAAATTATTTACCCAGTTCCATATTGATGATATTTGTTTCTAATTTGCTATTACAAACAATGTGGCAGTGAACATACAATGATCTTTATGTTACTCACTTCTCTTAATACTTGTTGCTCTCAGAATAAAATGAAAACTCTGATCATGGCGTCCCAGGCCCTGTATAGCCTGGCTCCTGACTTCTCTCTGCACTCACCCAAAATCATTCTCCTCACTGTACTCCAGCCATGGCCTTTCCGTTCTGAACTCCCCAAGGCTTTTCTGCCTCTCTGTCTTTGCATTCCCTCTGCCGGGAATGTTCTTCTTGCAGCTCTTTGCAGCCACTCCTGTTTTTTGAGGACTCAGCTCAAATGTCCCCTCTTCAGAGAGGCCTTTCCCTATAGTACAGCCCTTCCCAGTTACTTTCCATCTCATTTTGCCATTTATGTCCTTCATAGCACTTATACCAATCTGTAATTATCTTGTTGATTTGTTTACTTATTTATTTACTATCTGCTTCCTTTCTAGACTGTAATTTTCATGAAGTCAGAAGCCTTCCCCCAGAACTTAGCACAGGGCCTGAGGCATGGCAGGCAGGTCCTCAATAATTCTTTGTGGAATAAATTACTGAACGAATAGAAGGGAAAAGGTTGGCTGAAAGATTTCACAAAATGGTGAAAAGCTAGGCTGTTTATAACCCATAACCTTCTACTTCAGAGACCTGCCTGGGTGCCAAGGATGAAGTGGGAGGAGAATGACTTGCAGGAAACTGTCAAAATACCTGGAGCCTGCACAGCATCCATCACTGGCCTCCCTGCAGTGGTCTCTGCAGCTTAGTTCAGATGATCATCTCTGACGGGTCTATGTCTAATTTTGCATACAAATTGAGGTTGTATGAGGAATTTCTGTAGTGTAGTGGTTATCACGTTTGCCTCACAAATTGAGGTTGTAAGATAAGATCCAAAGATCTCTCCCATGCCAAGGCCCAAGGCTGTGGGTAATTATCAAAGGGACTGGCCCTGCCCCAAGAATGAGCATATTTTTAAGACCTTCACAAAAGGTTTACACCTCCCCTCTTCCCCTTCTGCTAGCTCACCCCATACTATCCAAGGAGAACTAGGGTAGGATGCTAATCTCGTAGCAGTTAAGAAGTTTGTCCTTGCAGGAGCTGGAAGAATGGGTGAGTAGATAGCTCAACTACAGAAGGAGGCAACATGTGGGCACACGTCCCTCCTCGTCTGAGACAGGAATAATATAGGGTGGTCACAAGAGAATAAAAATTCCAGACAGCAGTTTCACATGACTAGAGGCTATGGGCTGATAAGACCCTAAAAAACAGGGCATGGACCAAGCTAGCTAATACCTACTGAACCCAGTATGTGGCTGGATTTGACCTAGGTTTCTCCTAGGACCTCATTATAAACTCATTAACATACTAGATCACACACCTACCAGCGCCAGGACTGTTCCAAGACCACCCATATTTGCTGTAAAAATAGGTGCCACTGCGGTTATGAGAAATCTCTACCCTTTCCCAAGAATTTTCATGAATATTCCACCCCTTGGTTAAAGAAACCCATAAAGACAGAAATCCCAAACCCCACTGTGGGGTCTTGAGTGCGCCTACGCTCCCTTTTCTTGAATGTGTACTTTGCCCTTTGCAATAAATCTCTGTACTTTTACTATTTTCTGACTCTTCCTTGAATTCCTTGACAGAATTATTATCTTCTCAATGGTGTCAAGAGCCTGGACACCAGCTGGGGTGGAGGTCTCACCGACGTTTGGGGAGCTCCCCCAGCCCACTGGTATCACTTCTGCTGGCCTCATACTCCCTCTCACAACATAAGCCTGAACTCGCAGGCCCTATTCCCCCTGTCTTTGGTCCTCCACAGGAAAGAGTAACTCTCAGGACAGAGACTCATTATGAATCACGCTGGGACTTCTGGGTGGTGGGCCACAAACCAGGTCTTTCAAAGGACTCCATCAGAACTTTCTTCGTGCAGGGCCTATTAACTACTTCTTCACTGATGCCCAGAGAGTGAGAAGAGCTTAAAGAGGTATTTCAGGTTCTCTGGAAGCAGAGGAAACATGTCCAACTCTATTCCATGCAGCATATCCTACACTATTATCTCTCTCAGAGCAACTGAAATGAAACAGTGAGAGACAGTAGCATATTTTCATTGTTTTTCTCCTCCCAGGTAGCTGGGGTTACAGATGCCTGACACCATGCCCAGTTAATTTTTTTTTTTTTTTTTTTTTTGTTTTTAAATGAAAAAACGTTTTTCACAAACACTACTACAGTATGATGTGAGTTTTACGGGCTGAAGAAGTTTGCTTCCATACATACAACAACCAGATTAGCAATGGGATAGAGATAGCTATAGGGAAAACATGTTTCTGTGACAGAGATCATATGGACTTTTAATAAGAATCCTGCCTTCCATAAAACAACTCATTCTCATGGGCTGCGAGCTCAGATGCACTTGTAAGGCTCTTAGCTGGTGAGAACCCTGAACTTAGTAGATTCAACTTCAGATTTCTTCCACCTCACAGGAAGAAAAAGGAAGTATGGCTTTTCTCTTGGAGTAGTTAGGAAATAAGGACATATCCCATTACCCATTCCCTACAGCTACATAAAAAAAGACCTTTTTCTGGTTACTTTTCAGCACCTGGTGAATCCCCCTGCTCCCAGCTGTGAAGACATAGTTCCCTCAAGTTCCCATTTACCAGTTACCAGTATTAGACACATTGTTTTGAGCTGCAGGTCTCTTGCATAGACTAATGAAGAGAAGCATCTTCCTTTGCTATTTCTCCAAGGCTGGGGTGGTGGTGAGGGGAATGAGGAAAGAGGTAGAAGACAGACTTCTTCTTGTAGCAGAATTCCATGAAATTTAAATCCCCAGCAGGTATGCAAAGGTAGAATCAACTTAGAGCACTGCTGCGAAGGCACCTTTCACAGAGGGTTGGACAAAGCCCTTCCTTTGAGGTACTCACACCTGTGGCTGGTGGAGTGGCCTGAGGCAGCATTGGGTGAAATCACAGGAGCTGAACCATCAGGATGGGCTCCCTATAAGCCAATGGCAGGGGCAAGACTTTAGGAATTTTACCACTTCCTGGGCTTGTGGATCCCCTTGCACTTCCTGATGCCAGCTGTGTCCTAGGATACCCTCTCCATGGTCTCCCAGTCCTAAGTCCAGGGGTTTCTGGAATATTCTCTGACAGCCAGTCTTTTCTTTTGATGAGGTGGCAAAGCCGTCCTCCCTTCCCTTTGCCTGCAGTTGCCCTGGCACTGTGGCTAAACCGTGCATTGAATGTTGTGCCACTGATTATACTGGAGAAACAGGCACTTGCGCTGACAGGTGATTACTTTTTAGTCACAAAGTCAGAGCTCCATGCCTGAGGACATTTATCTTCAGGACAAGTGAGCTGAGGCAGAGCACCCAAATCCTCACCCTGCAGCTAAACTTCTGAGGTTATTCTCTTCCCAAAGACATTATTGGATCAAAATAACTTATTAAGCACTTGTTTAAAAAATAAATTTATATTTTATGAACCACAACAGTACCTATACATCTTTGAAAATACCAGTGCATATAGGTACAACCCATTTATTCTCTCTATATGGTGCACAGAATGATTCATGCCTCTTGGAATCACCGTGCAGCTCTGAGGGTGGGATAATTCCTATTTTTGCTCCTTCCTGGAACGCCTGGTTCTGGTTCTCTATGGTTTGCCTATTCTTTAGGGAAGGGACTGAGGCAGCAAGCAGTAA